GGTACGCTATCAGGGCATCTAGTACCAGCCCTAAAAACGACATACACGCTTTTTGTGTTATTACAGTAGTAAATTTGTGTAATATAGTGTTATAAATTAAGCCATGCTCAATTGCATAACTTTCACATATTTTTAAAAGTTTTATAATGCCACAAACTGAAGCGCTCAGCAATACCATATCGTCTGCATAGCTAAAATTATTTTAACTTTAAAGTTGAACAGAATAAAAAATCTGCAACTTTTTGTTTAGGTCATACATTTTTTTTTGTACCTACTTGTAATGAAATCCACCTATCCATATAGAGCGTTGTCTTTTTTTTACGAGGGGAAAATCATCGAATGACTGCTCCCGCCTGGGTGACGCAGGAGGGAGTGTCAGACTCTTACTGACTAAAAACCACCCCGTTCCTTCTCCTGCACCTCGAACCGGAGCCCCGGTTACATGTTAGGTTCTCCGCGACTAATATAGAGAGTTGTCTACAGTAAGAAATGAATCCTAAATACTGAAAGAGTACAATATAAATAATATTTATTACTACTTATACCAACCAGAATACTTCTGTAAAGTTCTGTATTAGTAATATAGTCTAGACATTTCTTATGTTATAGAAAAGTACGGAATATCAACATAGTTTCGTGTAATCAATAATATACAATGTATGAGGTTCCTCTTTGGGAAGACATATAGGAACCACAAATATTTGTCATTCATCATTTTCCTTCACTGATATCAAATAATGCATTCTTAGGTTGATCATGCTTCTGAAGGCACTTCAACATATGACGAGTTTTAGTACCATTTGTTCTGGAATGTGAAAATAAACTGGCAAGTTAGCACTTCGTCAGTTCTCTAAATATTATAATATGGTACTACAGAACCTTTAACAATTTCCTTCAGAAGTAAAATTATTTTGCTTTTACACAGACCTAAGTGAGTATCTTATTTATTTATTTATTAAAGGCACATCAACAGTATACATATTATACACTAGCCATAATACAGTTGAATACAAAATTTAAAAAATTCTGATATATGTATACCAGTGACAGATGTACACAACACTCACGGGATCATAAATTCCATGTACAATTATATTAGTAAAGACAAAAAAAAATCAAAGCAAACAAAAATAAAATAACAATAATAATTAAAAGCAATCTAATAATACTACTTAAATGTTTTAACTACTTTATTCCTAAACACGTGAAGCAAATCGTGAAAGATGTCCAAGTCATCCGAATCCCCGCAACGGTCGTTATATTCTGAGCATATTCGTCGTAGTGGTGAGTCATCTTGTGGTATATTTGTCTGAACAGGAATATCAATAAAGGTAATTTACACCTATTAATCCAACTAAGTATGGTTGGGAAACCTAAAGTAGAAATACATTGTTCAGAAAGGTAATGTGATCTACCTGTGCTAGAGATGATCCGTACCTCAGTGCTGTGGGTGGAATTAGAAATTCTGTAGAGGGTGCATCGGCATTGTTTATGTCCTTATAATTATGTGTAGTTCGCTTCAGTTTGGAGTTTTGCTCACACACACGCAGTCATTATTTGTACATCACACAGTATTTGTTGATGTGGTTGGCCCGAGGTCGGAAGGTTAAACTTTTTTTTTAAACATTGCCCCACACTAGAATTTTCTCCTGTGTCGTGTGTGCGTTTACAAACATACAAGTTCACATACACATGACACCCAGACCAGGAACAACAATGTGTGGATCACACAAAGTATAACAACAATTTGTGAATCGAACCTGCGACATGTTGCACGGCAGCCGGTTGCCCAGCCACCGCACCAACCGTGCACTCGGGTCGGTCTTGGATGTTTTCCAATTCAAGTTTAAACTCTCCGATAGCTTTACTTGTATTAAACCTGTTTTGAAGCACTATTTAATAATATATAGCTAGAACACCTAAGTAGTCACGTTCTGATCTTCTCCACATCTTCATTCAGGAGTCAAATTAATGTTATTAATTTACATGACCGTCTGGCTGTATCGTTAAAAACCTTTATAGGTTTGTTAATTAATGAACGAACAGTAACTGCTCCTAGGATCATTTGACATTCACAATCCTGTCGTCTCACTCAATCCCATCTTTAATCAGTGGAGCCTCCTCCCCTCCGCATTTATTTAAAACATTGGGAGGAATTAGGTTATAATAATTATTATGAAGAGGGAAAATAAGTGTAATCATTTTATAAGAATGGCTTTGTCCAACATGCAACACTATGGAATAGCTGGCTAAGGAAATGTCTCATTTCCCATAAAGATAGGTAGCAATCGCTCCGGAGTATATTTACTGACTGGAGTGAGACTACAGGAGTAGTTTCCAACGTATGTTGATCGACTTCGGTGCCATGCCATGGTGAGCACCTCCAACTGGAATGGGCTTCATGTTCTGCTGAGGCAAAGCAAACTGATTTTAAGTTTCAAACTGCAAGGTAATTTAAATGATCCACGGCTGACCTCTCGTGAAAGCTCTAGGATTGCAGTTGGAAAGATAAAAGCAGATAGATTAAGTCAGCCAACTTTCCGATTGGCGAAAGTAGGTAAGTCGTTCATGGGATTCTGTGTTAAATGTTATAACAAGATACCAGCCGACATACAACACTTTAATGAAAAAAAAATTAAATAATGTATAAAAAAAACTTTATGTAGATAAGCATATAGTAGTAATATTAAAAAATCACTGATTATATAGAAGATAAAAATGCTTGGATGCAGGCTAGTCCGGCTCCACAGGATAACGAAAAACATTGATGTTTCAATGAAATCCAAACACGTAATTATATAGCCATGTTGCTAAATTGTATATTGTTTAACTTACATAATCATTGTAAATGTGAGAGCCCTATAATTCACTAAATATTACACTTGTAGAATACATTTGTGTCATCTTGGAGTTGTCATGCTCACTCAAAGGTCTCATTGGCGGTGGTACATGCAGTGGATCGCAAAATTCCCTACAATATGGTTGAGTTGGGCGGTGCTGGTGTACGTGTCATGTTCGTGAACGGGCGCCGTCAACTGGGACTGGTCAGCTCCAGACTATTTTGTTTCTGTCCTTTAAGGTTATTTTTTTATTCGATCTCTTTGACTGTATTTTAGTGTTGTTATATTGTTCTTCAACAATCCAAACAGCAAAACTATGTAATTAGTGAATTGTATTGTGAACCTGATTGAAAAAGAGTAACCTATGGAGTTTCTTTCTCGTTCTTCTCCATAGAAATCTACACCTTGGAATGAGCAAATAGCTTTACTTTTATTTATTTTTTGTTGTTCAAAAGTGCCTTTCTGGTCTAATTGAAATAAATGAGTTTGACTGAAATTAAATATTGGAGATCCGCTTCAATAGGTTTTTGATAATTTGAATAAATAGGATAGGACCCGGGTAAGGACGTCTGAATACAGTCAGACGTCCATCTCTCTCTCGTGGTCTCGTCTCAGCCACGAGAGAGAGGGAATCCACGAGAATAACGAGCGCTGCCGTGGCACCGCTCGCTACGCTCGCTCACCTCGAGCCTTGTGAGGATTACAGTTCTACCATAACCTAACCAAATATGTGAGGGTGCCCTAAGTTATGCTCTAAGGATGGAAATTATACTACAAGGCCATTTGTCATTTCAAACTTTCGATATTTTAAATTATAGGTAAAAGAATCATTAAGGATCTCAAACATAACTTGTCTTTCATTAGGTGCTGTGATTTTGGTAGTTTGATACACGTACCCACATAAAAGTATGTATAATGAGACTAATGGGTAAATTATTTTCATTAAAAGTTTTCATGTCAAAATAGTAAATATTAGAACATTATTCACTTTTCCATTTCCTTGTAGATTCAGCCAAGGGTCTGTAGTTACACTTCAGTTTAGCCGACAGTTGACACCCATTTTTAGCCGTAATATATATATTACACAATATTTGTCATATAAATTATTTTATTAGCCTAAAAGTGCTCCATTGTGACCTGTTTGCAGAAATAAATATCATTTGTTGATTTTTACAGATCACAACTATTGAAGAATTGAGAAAACAAACGTTGAAGCAAACAAATGAAAAATTGATCATACGAACAGACGACGGAGGGGTAAGACATCGACGGACGGGGCGAGGGGCTGCGTCGGCGACACACGTCCTTCAGTACCACCGGTGAAATAGTTAAATGTTTTATTCATATAAATCTTGTACGTATAACTAGTACGATTATATATTATCTACTAATACGGGGAACACTCTCTGTTCCCTCCCTCAGCCAGACATGAGGAGAGAGGGATCAGGGTCCACTTGACATGGTTCCCGAGGTACGGGGGTGAACCACTATAGAACTTCCAAACTCAGTTACAGCTTGCAGTAATCTGCTCATAAATTAGTAGACCAACTTGAGGCAACTGACAGAAGACAACATTGATGTTATTGTTCGCGTCAACTTGTTCCACATTCAGACCCCGTTACTATGGACGTAAAACAATATAAAAAGCGTTCAGGAACATCGGGCATACAAGGACAACTGTATGAAACGAAACTTATCAGTCTCATTAACTTCAGAGCTTTGCACAACGACACGATAGAAAGCTTCCATCTGGCCACGAACATCGATGAAATCGGCACGTTTGATGATATTTGTCTAAGAATCAAAGTATCTGAGTTCGATAAACCTTTGGCTATATTCATCCAAGCCAAACATCGAGAAAATGATAAACTATTCACGTTCAGCAACACGAACGATTTAGTTAAATATTTTGATAGTTATTTGAGAATTAGGCGATTGTTCAGTCCTAAAAATAAGAGCCCGATTTTCGGTGGAAAATTAGAAGATGTTGAATGCTTTTTTGCAATGTACACTCCAGCCGCTACAGCTGAAGATGACAATAGTACTAAGTTATATGAGGGAGAATTTGCTGATTATATAAATGAACTTGTAGGAACAGGAAAAGCTTGCCGACAACCTGTTAATAAAGAAGACCATTCAGACTTTCTAGGCAAGATTGTAATGAAAGAAGAAATTGTTTGTTTAGCTATAAATATAGCTACGTTTATAACTGAACGAACTGACACAGAACTATCGATGAACAATGATTTGATGTTGCGCTATCATGTGCTCCTAGCTCTTGAAGTCTTTGAAGTGTCTGAGATTCAAGTTGAAGGCCATCGATTTGTGCATTTCAGAGAAGACTTTTTTGATTCTAAAAACAAATTTGTTGTACTATTTAAAAACATACTATGCTTAGAAGTTCTGAAGAAAAATAAATCACAAATCAGTGATGAAATTATGATTAGTTTGGATTCTGTTCTATCAGAGTTTCTTGTCGAACCCAAGGAAGAACTATTGTCAAAATTAATAGGTAAAGTTATAACTTACAAGAATGATAGATTGGAATTTGTCAACAACTCTACAAACGAAGATCTAAAACGGAAACTTGACAAATTGAATGTACCACAAACTGTTGTCTATAAGGCAGCTGTGAGTGGAGCTAAAGAATACTTACAACGTCTCAAATTGAAGGTACCAGCTTTTTTTGGTAACAAAGACTTAGCCATAAGAGGGAATGATGCAAAAATAGACCAAAGATTAACACATTTAACTACAACATTTGTAAAACTATTGGAAAATGTGACGACAGACAATATAATAACAATCGATGAAAGTCTTGGTGATGGCTTTCTAAAGCTGAATGGAGGATTGTCCTCAGCCGTTGGTAATATATTAGTATTGGACTATCCCACAAATCTCCTAAGATTCACAGATGATTTCGAATCACTGGGCAGTATAGCCAAGAGATGGTACGAAAAGCTGAAAATTAAAATCGGCAATTTAAATGAATACAAATTGGACGTCAAAGTCAAAAAGTTTCCAAAACTTTCATTCAAAACAGGAGCATACGACGATAGTTTGGTCAGAGATTTTTACAACAGATTGCTATTTTTTACAAACCAATCAGATCAGGGAGGAGTAGAAGATGTACTCAAGAGAGAAATAGAAGATCATCCGTGTTATGATGTCTACAGGTTCAGAGTGAGATCTGACGTAATATATCTGAGGTATCACGACGAAATACAAAAACTATGGATGACTCCAAAAGTGGGAACATATTTGACGAAACAAAACAAACTGTACACAAATGCTGTTACAAACGCTATGAATGAACCTTTAATTGGAGTTTTAAACACGATGCATAGAATTAAAAACAAAGATTATGTATTTAAAGAAGAATCTCTCAAGATATTCACAGAACGTAATGTTACTGGAGCTGTTATAGCATCAGGGAGCCCAGTACTGACATCAGTCAAATTGGAACAGTATTTAGGCAAAAGGGATCATGCTGTATACATACATACATACATAACTTCACGCCTGTCTCCCATGGGGGTAGGCAGAGACTAAGGAACGCCAATTACTACGATTCTTACATACCTCTTTCGCTTCATTAACAGTCATCAATCTTTTCATGCATGCTCGTCGGTTAAGGGTACTTTTAATTTGCTGTATTGGATCATGCTGTATTGGATTTAAAATATATTTTCAAACTCCCTCATAAGAGCCTTACGATATTTTATGAAGAACTGATAAATTGTAAGGACAAAGTACTAATCATTCTATCGAATCACATGCAAAGCTTTAAAAATTGTAACAAGAAGTTAGAGAGCATCGCAAAGGCTGTAAATGGTAAACCGACTGTTATAGTCGTGGATAAACATTCAGTGAAAACAATAAAACAATATTTCTCACAAGTCCATGATGTAGTAAATGACGATCCAATATCTCTCATAGATCTGACTGACGAATCTCAAAAAATGGTCCTAGGAGTTGCTAAAGCAAAGTTCCAAGGCTTAGATGTAGGTTTAGATATAATTATAGATGAAGAATCTGCAAAATTAATAGATGAAACTATGCTGAACAATATTGTTGACGGTAAATCAATAAAAATAGGAAATGAATACATAGATGATAACTATGAAAGGAACAAAAAGTTGTATATAGACAGGAGAGTGAAGCCAAAAGCAGAGTTCGATTTTGCAAACCGTATACGACCACAAACTCTATATGACTTAGACGACGACGTTGTACTACTGACAGCTGTACCAGGAATGGGCAAGTCCACTTTGATGACTCATTTATCATTGAAAACAAAGGAAATAAACCCTAAACTGTGGATATTAAGGATCAATTTGTTGGAGCACACGAAGATGTTGAGTGATTGGAAAGATAGTCAAACTGATATAAATATGCTAGAGAGTTTAAGATTCATGTGTAAAGTAGCCATTTGTAAGAAGCACAGAGATTTTAATGAAGATGATGAATTTAAAATTGAACTGGAAGAAGTACTTGGAACGGTAATCCTAAAAAATTGGACCGAGGACAGTTTTATAGAATTCCATCTAAGTAAAACACAGTGTATCCAGCGAGTGAATGAATGATTTTTATTTTGAATCTGTAACACATAATTCTCACACCAGGTGGCAGCACATACAACACAATACTCATCTTGACATTAATAAATCCAACACCCCCACTATATCAAAATAAACAATACATTGTACAACACTTACCATCATTTCATGACCAATTTGATACAATCCTGTATACCTAACATTTTCATGAAATAATAATGCTTTACACGATTCAATCCTTTTGTCAACAAATCAGCTGGCATTTCTGAAGTAGGTATATAATCTAATTTAATTATTTTATTGGCAATGCTTTCTCTACAGAAATGATAGCGCACATCAATATGCTTAGATCTCCTATGATAGATGGGATTTGTAGCTAATTTAATTGCACTTTGGTTATCGTTATATAACAAGATACTGTATGGTTCATTAGTAATTTCAAACTGTAAAGACCTGAGATACATAGCCTCTTTACAAGCTTCAGATAATCCCATGTATTCAGCCTCTGTGCTCGAGAGTGCCACAGTTCTCTGTTTCTTACATTGCCATGAGATCACACATCCGGACAAAACAAAACTATAGCCAGTATATGACCTTCTGTCCACGGTGTTTGAAGCCCAGTCTGCATCAACAAAACCTTTTATCTTATTATTTTCACTATTTTTACTATATACCAGGCCATAATTCTGAGTTTCCTTTAAATACCTAAGAACTCTTTTTGCATAAGACCAATGTTTATTTGTGTAACAATTATTAAACTGACTCAAATATCCTACAGCATATGCAATATCTGGTCGTGTTAAAACCGCCAAGTACATAAGAGATCCTATCAATTGCTGATATGGAACTGTAATTTTACTATCTTTACAATTTTCAGTACAAACATCTAACTTAGTTTCTATAGGAGTCATAGCACATTTACAATCTTGCATATTGAATTTGGATAATAACTGGCTTATATAATCTTTCTGACACAAAGTTACTCTACCTTTAGCCTTATCAATATAAACATCCATGCCTAAACATCTTCTTACTGTACCTAAATCCTTTAATTTAAACTGAGATGCTAACACACTCTTTAAATTCTTAATTTCTACATTATTATTTGAGAATATAAAGAAGTCATCAACATATAATGCTATAATTGTAATATAAACACCTTCCTGCTTTATAAACAAACATGGTTCAATATTAGACCTTTTATATCCATTAGTAGTAAGACAATCATCTACCTTTTTATACCAAGCCCTAGATGACTGTTTAAGGCCATAAATAGCTTTCTTGAGTTTTAAAACTTTACCATTATTATGAGGAGCATTAAAGCCTTCTGGCTTTTTCATATAAATTGTTTTCTCAAGATCACCATTTAAGAAGGCAGTGGTCACATCTAAATGAGTTACATTTAAATCTAGTTTCACAGACATTGCAAACAACAATCTCAAGGTGGTATGTCTAACTACGGGAGAAAAGGTTTCATCATAGTCCAATCCTTTTCGCTGTGTAAAGCCTTTTGCCACCAGCCTTGCACGATATCGAATGTTTTTATCACTGTCAACCTTTTTTTTTAGCACCCACTTGCACTGCACTAGAGTCCCGTCACATGGTTTGTCTACCAGTTCCCACGCACTGTTATTTTCAAAACACTGTAATTCTTCTTTATTGCTTCTAACCACTGTTGCTTTTCTGGTCCTTGTAAAGCTTCCTGTAATGTTAACCCACTGGCATCATCAAACAAGTCCTCCGTGACGCACATGTTTGAGAGTCCAAAGCGTTCAGGTCGTTTCCTCTGCCTTACAGGCCTTCCTTCAGTAGCCTGAGTACCTAAATCTATAACAGAATCTTCACTTCCTGTTGTAGTTTCATAGGATGTCTCACTGTCCTCAGAATCATCTGGCATGTAGGTCTTGTCATGAAGACTGTCTTGATTATCTGTAACTGTGTCATCCTGATCCCCCACTAAATCCAAGCATCCTGGACTTGACTGTTGACTAACTGTAGATATCCCTACATCTTCGTTTTCTATATGGATCTGACACTGTTCATGGTTTCTTGTAATTGGCTTTTCTTTCTTATAACTTAGTGGATCTTCCATTATAACTACATCACGACTTGTAGTTACACATCTTGTTTCTTCTGAATATATCCTGTAGCCTTTAACATTGTCAGGATATCCCACCAAAATACACTGCTTGGATTTCTTGTCCCATTTCTGCCGCTTTTGTTTCGGAATATGTACCATGACACGACTACCAAATATTCTTAAATGACTAACATCTGGTTTGTGACCCGTCCACAACTCGTAAGGAGTCTTGTCATTTAGCCCTGATGCTATGGACCTGTTTTTAATGTAAACAGCGGTATTTGCTGCTTCACCCCAAAACTTTATCTCCAACCCAGCATCGAACAACAAGCATCTTGCCTTTTCTACTACTGACCGGTTGTAGCGTTCACACAGACCATTCTGCTCCGGAGTATAAGGATTGGTCTTTTGATGCAGGATACCTTCTTGCGCCAAATAATCTTCAATCTCCTTGCTGCAGTATTCTAGTCCATTGTCTGAGCGTAATATCTTCATTTTCTTATTCTGATGGTTTTCTACCATTGCCTTAAACATTTTAAATTTCTTCATAACCTCACTTTTTTTATGTAAGAAATATATAAAGGCCATCTTACTGTAATCATCCACAAAAAGTAAGAAATATCTTGACCCACCTATGGTGTTGTGTTCCATGGGTCCACATATGTCTGTATGTATGATCTGGAGAGTCTCCGTGCTTCTCTCTCCAACATTTGTGAATGGCAACCTACACTGTTTTCCTTCACAACAAACCATGCAATTTGATTTACTTGCATCACTCCTGCCACTATATTCTAAACCATCAACTGCTCCATTCTTCATCTTTTGCATGTCATTGCAATTTATGTGTCCTAATCTTCTATGCCAGGTCTCTGCAGTCACTGCCCCCATAGCAACCAACTCTCTAGAGCGTAAATTAAGTTTATACACTCCATTTCTGAGATTTGCATCCGCTACAAGTTCATTCTTGGCATTATAAATGCAGCACTTGTTCGATTCGAAAACTACATTGTTTCCATTTCTAATCAATTCGCTGACAGACAGCAAATTCGTTGTGAGACTTGGTACGCACATAACGTTGCTTATTGTAACTTCGTAATCAAAGCTTGTAGTAATCCTAATGTCTCCTGAACATTTCACTGGTACTTTCGTTTGATTTGCTACAATAATCTCGCGCAAACCCGGTGAGGTCGAAATATTCGTCAACCAATGTTCATTTGCCGTTAAATGGCCACTTGCGCCTGAGTCTATGTAAAAATCTTCTTTACTGAAACTCGCAGTCAGAAATACAGCACTAAAAGCGTTTGTTTGTTCTTATTTTCTGTATTGTTTCTTATTTTGCACTGGTTTTTATAGTGACCGGCCTGTTTACATCGATAACAATAGATCGTTTTTTTATCTTTTACATTGACTTTTGATGACGTTCCATTGTTAGTGTTGCCATATCTCTTTTTATTTTTCTGCCATGCTTTAGCTGCAAAAGCTCCATTCGATTCCGTTTCACTCGAGCCCGGTGGTTCCATATCAATTAGTTTCGTCTTGATGACATCTGCGTTGATAGGAATGCCCGAATGCTCTATGGCCATTATCATTGGGGTATACTTGTCTGGCAAGCCCGCCAGAAGTAATGAACCTACCCACTCATCATTTATATTAAATCCTGTGCCGTTTAATTTTTGCGATGTTTCGATGATCTGCGTTACATATGTCGTCATCGACTCACAATTTTCAAGCCTGATAGATATTAAATGACGTAATAGCGTAATTCTCCTAGAAAACCCGGAATCGTCGAACAATGATTTCAACTTGTCCCATAGTTGTTTTGTCGTAGTCGTACTCTTGATATGAACATATAAAGACGAATCAATAGTTAAAATCAATTTCGCTCTTGCTTTAGCATCTGTTGTAGCAGCTGCTGCGTCCGTTGCCGCCGGCTCTTTCTTAACCTTTTCCGCATAGCCGTCAAGGACAAGCAAATTCTCTGCCGCAAACGCCCACTCGTCGTAGTTTTCTCTGCCCTTAAGTTTTGGCACATTTACTACATAGTTCGAGGATGACATTTTCACCGCACAATATACACTAATACTGGTTAAACTTATTAATTTTTAAATTGAAATTCGTGAGGGCACCATAACCTCTAAGTAAAACACAGTGTATCCAGCGAGTGAATGAATGATTTTTATTTTGAATCTGTAACACATAATTCTCACACCAGGTGGCAGCACATACAACACAATACTCATCTTGACATTAATAAATCCAACATTCCAACTTAAATTATTTCTCTATTACTACAACACACAGAAATTAATATTCATTTTTGATGGGTTCGATGAAATATTCCCTGACTACGCCGATCAAGCACTAGCACTAGTGAAATCAGTTAGGGATTTTACTAAAAGACATAAGATTTGGATCACAAGTCGATCTTATAATAATATTAAATCTATTTTGGAAACAGAATTTGGACCTTCATATGGCATTGACCATTTCTCTTGGACGGAACAAGACAGATATCTGTTTTTGTATTGGCAAAACAAATTGCAACTATCAAAACTAAGTAGCGAACAACTACAAAACATAAACGACTTCATTCAGTTTATTACAAAAAAATCAAACGGTGTCGCAGTCTTTAACAATATTCGACACAAAGCGTATTTTAAAGTTTATACAACTTTTCTGTTATTTTTAAAGCAACAGTCTACGACCACAGGTTTAGACATCCCTTATCTCGATGAATATTACGAGCTAGAAATCGACTCAAAAACACACGAAGTAATAGAATTTAATAAAATATTGAGTTCACCGCCTTTACATTTGTATCTACTGGCTGAATATACACTTAATAAAATCAAATATATCGATGATAAACAGAACAAATGGGATATTAATATAACAGAATATATTATGTGCGAATACTATATGGAAATAAACCTGAAGCGAATTATGTTTCAAGAGAAAAACAAAATTGATGTTTATAAACCAGACAATAGAGTTTTATATGAAAAAGAAAGGACGGAATATGTAAATAAGTATAAGAAATTAGGTGCTTATGTCGTATTTTATCCTAATACTGAATACTTCAACGACGCAGAGTTAAATGAAATAAATAAAATGATTGATGAACTAAAAGATGGAAGAGAAAAAAGTGGTTTGATCCGGACCGTAGCAAATAACGTACCGATATTCATACACATGTCTTTTGCTGAATATTTGGCAGTAGAGTACGTTTGCGACAGACTTAAATCACAAGTCACAAAAAAAGGACAAGAGAAAATGTGGGAATTCATAATCAAAGTATTGTTTCGAAGATCGGGAACGGATTGTTTTCAACTTTTTAACATAAAATTTAAAATGGATTCTCAGTTGATCGAAATAGCGGAGAGCAACAAACTTTTTATCTTTCAGTTGTTGTCTGATTTAGAAAATCAATCGGATTACCAAAGAAATGATAAAATTAATGGGATTGATGGATGCTCTGGGTTGCTGGGTGATGAACAGATTAACGAAAATAACGTTGTAGACTTTGAAAAGCTGTACAAAGTTCCTTTTTCAACTAGAAAAGATTACTTAGTTGTATATCCTGGAACGGATGTAGCAAGGCACAGGATTGAATTAGATGATTCAAGACGTTTGACCCACGATGAAATAATGAAACTGCTTTATGCATTTAATTAATAAAAGTGATAAAAAATCCCACATTCACACTCCCAACACTCTTTCTCTCTCTCTCAATTACACACACACACACGCCCTTACACACGCAAAAGCACACATTTTTTGAATTTTTTCTTACTGTGTTGTTATTGGCATGTTATTGTTAAACTCATGGGTGAAGACACTGGCTTGTAATACAGTGTGAACTAGTTCAAGGGTCAGGGGATTCTGCTTATCTGTGTTAATTTTTTGTCAATAAAGAATTATTTTTTATTATCGGTTCCTTTTTCTAAGCTCGGCTACAGTGCCGGATTTGAGGGCTAGTACGGGCCGAAGCCAAGTGCTAACCCACGTGGACGTTTCAATTTTGGGTTGGGGTGTACGAAACTTTGTCGGTTTCGTTCAAAAATTTTCGAACAATATGACAGCTTTTTGGAAGATTCGACATGTGTATGGAGGTAGTTCGAGTGTTTTTATGGATTGATGGAGTTGTTTCGGAATAACCCCCGTTGTTGATAATACTATGGGAACTATTGTGACGCTGTTAACCCCTTACCGCATACCAAGCCATATTTGGATGACAAAGTTTTAGATTTTTTTATAGGCTAACTATAAACTGTACCTTAAGAACCAAACTTACATCTGAACCAGAATTTCATAGTGAAACGGAACATAATTAATTTGCACATGACAAGTGTCATCTGTCAAATATATTGTAGGTTATGTTGAGCGCGTACGACGGTGTTGGTGTGCGATAAAAAGTGTCATTTTGTAATTGAGAAATAAATACTAAAAAGGTGAGTACACTCATGAAAAAAAATATTACTACATTCTTTTAACTTTCTAAAATAAGGGTAAACATTAATTTTTTTGGTTTTTTGCTATCTTCATATGATTTGTTGCGCTTTTTCTAACCTGCCATATTTGGCTTCGTATGCATTTCACACTAATTGATCGCCGCCATATTTGGCTTGGTATGCATTACAGAGTGCTATTTTTGCTTTTTCAGAAATGGATCCCGCCCGCTTTTATGGCTATTATAAGCATGTTAACACTATACCTGGTGATGGAAATGAGAGTGAAGATGACATTGATTCCGATTGTGATGAAAATTGTTTTACAAAATCAACTCTTTTACCCCCTAGAAGACATATTATCATACCTGAGTCGGATTCTGATTTTTCTGAAGAAGATGACGTGCCTTTGAGTAGTTTACAGTCTGCATCTACCTCTAAATCCAAAGGAAAAGCTACAAAAACAAAGGTCAACTGGAAAAACGGAAAAATGCCAGCTTACGATGCCAATAATTTTAAATTTACTGGTAACACAGATTTACCTGACAGTATAAAAAAACTGAATTCCCCTGCAGAAGTCTTCGAGTTTTTATTTACAGCTGATATGATTAACGTTATAACTGAGCAATCTAACCTCAAATCTATTCAAGATAATATTAACAAACCAGCAATGATTACGAAAGAAGAAATAGAAAAGTTTATTGGTATCATCATTTTTATGTCTTGTGTGAAGTTACCGTCAACTAGGAAGTATTGGTCAAAAGAAGTAGGGCAGTCGCAGGTTTATGAAATAATGACGTGTAACAGATTCGAATCTATCAAAAGATTTTTACATTTCAATAATAATGAAACTTTTGTACCTCTTGGACAAGATGGTCATGATAAATTGTTTAAAATTCGGCCTTTGCTGGACATGATTCGAGCGCGTTTGATGCTAGTCCCAAAAGAAGAGTATTTAGCCGTTGACGAGCAAATAATTCCTACCAAGTGTCGTCATGAATTGAAGCAGTATAACCCAGCTAAACCTCACAAATGGGGTTACAAAAACCTAGTTCTGAGCGGGGTTAGCGGCTTTAGTTATGATTTCGATATCTTTGCTGGAGATCAAAGCAATTCCTACCCTTCAGATGCGCCAGATCTTGGTGTAAGCTCAAATGTGGTAACTCGGTTGACATCTACAGTTCCACGACATAAGAATTACAAGATTTGTTTCGATAACTGGTTCAATAGCCCAAATCTTCAAGTATATCTTTTCCAGAACGGTTTGCTACCCTTAGGAACCGTGCGACTCAATCGTGTGCCGAACTCAAATATGCCCACAGAAAAGGAACTCAAGAAGCGTGGTCGTGGAAGCATGGCAGAAAAGGTAGCGGTCATAAATAAAGTAAAGTTAAGTCTGGTTTCCTGGTTCGACAACAAGAACGTCAATCTTCTTTCTGCTTACGTCGGAAGCGAGCCAACCACAACAAAACGGCGTTATGCTCGACAGGAAAAAAAATATATTGATATTCCTTCTCCCCAAGCCGTCGATATTTATAATAAACATATGGGAGGAGTCGATTTACTTGACTCCATTCTGGGCTATTACAGAATCCATTTGCGGTCTCGTCAGTGGTACAAAAGGATTTTTTTTCACATGCTGGACATGACCATTGTAAACTCTTGGTTGTTATGGCGCCGAATAAATACAGACTCATCCTATATGCCTCTATTTGATTTTAAGCTAGCGATTTCAGAACACATGCGAAAGACAGGAAAAGCTCTTATGGTCAAAAAACGTGGCCGTCCCTCCAGCATCTTGGGAACTCCGACATCAAGCCGGGGTGGTACTCCCCTCAATGTCTCGCCAAGTAACTCGCCAGTACCTGCGAAAAAGCTACGAAAAACTCCTGCCAGACATCAGGATCTTCCGTTGGATTCTGTACGCTCTGATGGGATTAGCCATTACCCAATTTGGAAAAAAAATACCCGTCAACTATGCCAATATTGTTCCAAATTTCGTTCCTTCACATTATGTGAAAAATGTAATGTGTACTTATGTTACAACGACAAACGAAACTGTTATAAAGAATTTCATGTAGCATAAGCATATTTTTCCCCAACTGCATACGAAGCCATATATGACCGACCAACCATTGGTCAGACTGCATACGAAGCCATATATGGCGTCATTAAAAACCTTTTATTATATAAGCAAATAATTTTTTTTCTCACTTTGGTCTCATTATGTAAGGTAAAATAAAGACATATGTGCAAAAAAAAATTTTTTTTTCATCTCCTTCATAATTCATGCAATAAGGGGTTAAGTCGCCACATTCTGGTGATTTCTATTCTCAGGTCGGTGTATTTAGAAAGTTTTTCTGCAATTGTGTTTTGGAGGTTATGTGTATTTGGAATGGCTATATCTTTGATTTGCGCACTTTTGTTGATCTTATGATCAATGAGTGTGATGTCGGGTCTATTGAAGTGTGCGGTTTTGTCGGTAAGAATAGCTCGGTCAAAGTACAACTTTAAAAGCAGAGTTTTCAAGAACGATTTATGGGTGGTATTTGTGGTGAGGTGTTGGTGGGCCGGAGATTAAATTATATTTTAAAGCTAATTTTTGGTGTATGATATTTGCCACTTGGTCGAGTCTGTGCTTATAGTCAGATTGACCTATGGTTATATATTGGCTTTGCAGGCATCTGGGACATGCTGAATGGTTTCAGATGCACCATTACAGCACCTGCAAATGTCGATGGGTATGGGAATATGCATTATATGTTTTTTTATAGTTGCGGGTTTCTATTACCTGGTCCTTTTTTTATGGCATAAGCCGGTAAACGAGCAGACGGATCACCTGATGGTAAGCAATCGGCGTCGCCAATGGACACCTGGAACATCAGAGGCGTTTGAGGATCGTTGGGGATTCAGAAATTGGACATATAGGATTACGAGGAAACGAGGAGGCTGATCACTTGTCAAAACTGGCTGTTGAGATGGATAATGAAATGGCGTATACTCCGGATCATTGGGAATATTGTTCCAAATTCCAACAGTCTTGATAATAATAATAATAAGCCCGCAGGGCACCTTGAGCTACCATCATTCCGAGTGCTCCAGGGAGAAGTCACCGTTTCTTACTATCCGGCTTGCCTTAATTGGCTGGCTGGAGTGAACGATGACAAGGAACCGGTCTCCCACCTCTGGCTTCCCTTCATTGACTGTCCAGTCGCGAGAGCAGTGATCCTGCTCGATCCTGATCTGAGTAGAAAGCGGTGGTAGTTTCTTAACCCTTCAGCCACTCACATTCTCGTTGTCCCTCTGTTGCTATAACTAGTAACT